CTTGGCGACCTAAGAGAGTCGCCGCCGGCGTCGGCCTGCCAGAAACACACGCGTGTTGATGATTGGACCCGTTACACTGTGGCGATGTCAATACCTAAAAGGCACACAAAAGAGTGCGTTGACGTCTGTTCGAGAAATGTATTTTTGCTGCCACTTCAGTAGTCACTGCAAACGCAACTCATTTCACTCGGCACATTTTTGCTGTTCAGTACTCTTACGTGCCGGGCGTGTCATTTATTTAAACTCAAACCTGTTGAGTCGTAATACTATAACTGTGACGTATGCTAGCCTAGCGCGAGCCTGTTGGTGAGTCCTCTGAAAATGCAACAGTTGGACGTAGTCTCACTGTTCAAAGAGTAGATCAAAATGGCCCACTGTTTCAACAGTGCAAATAAAAGCGTGTCGCACATTTTAAACAATATGGGACATTATGCTGTCCTCTTTTAACTCGGAAGACTGACCCACCGAATTGCCCATACGGCCGTAAGGGCTGACCGCGCACTTCGCTCACACCCTGTTTGACTGTGGAAGGCTCGCGCGAGCCAGCTGGTCCTCGCCTCGCCTTTCCGCAGTGAGCCGCTAACGCGTGATCGTTACCCCGTTACTAACGCGCGCTTCTCTTCTCTGTCTGTTGCAGGTATGTTGCGGTCGCCGCGTCTGGTGTGGTTTGGCCGTGCACAAGAAGCAGCAGGCGCGAGGCGGGCGCGGTCGTTGAGTCGGGATGAGTATACCCGCCAACTGCAGCCCGCTACTGCGCAGGACGATAGGCCCAAAGGGAGAGGGAAAGAGAGAAAAAAATGCACGAGTAATCGTAAAATAATTTCGGTCCATCCCGCGCTTCCTCCCCCCCCCCCCTTTTCCCACCCCGTCCGTCCCGCGGCCAGGCGGCGCCTGCCAAGGTATAATATCGACGTTCGCTCGTGCGCTGATTTTGGCACTTTGCCGCGTCGCATTCCCGGCCCGGGACAGTCTGCGGATGATTCACGTCTCTTTTCTCCCTTTCTCTGTCCGCTCTCCGCCAATCTTCTCTCTCTCCATCTCTGTGCCTCTCACACCCTCACTCGCTCGCTCTTTCTCGCTCACCTATTTCGACCCCGAAAGCACGCCAAGGACGTATATCGGATCGTCGCTCCTCTCGGTGATAAGTGGACAGGCGCGAAAAGGTTCGGAAAAAAGACAGGGTTTTTTCAAAGCGGGGTGATAAGAGAAGGGAAAAGGTTGGGGAGGGGGTATTTTTTGAGCAGAAAGCAGACGTAGTGTATAGTCGCTCACACTCTTCTCCCTTTTGCGTCCTTACCCCATCTGAAAAGTTCTGTTGTGAAGTTGTATGTGTGCGTGTGTGTGTGTGCCGTCGCTCTCGTACGCAGAGTTTTGGAGGTCAGGACCGCCGCGTTTCGTAACAGCAGACGACGCGGCGGGCGACGCCCAGCAGGTGTCGCGACAGGGGCGCCTCTCAGCTGCTCGCCCCGCCCGGCCCCGCCCCGCCACGCCGCGCTGTGACTCACTCGACACCACGCGGCCCCAGCAGGGGCAGCTGTTCGCGCGCCCCGCAGGACCACGACCCCACCGGTCAAGGCTCTGCTGCTTTAATTATTTTGAACTTTACCCACCGTGACTTTAACCACTGAACGTTTTATGCACAACCATGTAAAAATTGTGAATGACTAGCGTCGTTGAAATTGAAAAGTTGTGCGTGTAACAATGGCTGAGCGAAATTCTGCTAGCCTTATGCATATATGCAGCACACTGCAGAGGCCGGGTTTTCGATAACCTTGACACAAAAGTATGAACAACTTTTATTTTGTGGTTCTTAAAGTAATCGCATCACTTCACTGGTTTTCGCTCGCCTTTGTCCTTCGAAATTTGGACTTAGCCTTACCCTCTATCAATTTTTTTGCGATGACAAACATTTTTGGTCAGAACACGTCTTGCGTCGAGTCTTGCGTTTAAATGGCTGAAAATCGGTGAAATTGGCATGACGGACGGACATTATTACTTTCGGGACATACGGACGGACGCTTCTCGGGGAATCTCAGCGGCTTGTACAATTTGACAAACCACATACAAATTTCATCCTTTTTGGTATTTGGTTAAAAAAAGAAGTTTTCGTAAAGGAAAATTAACTAAGAAAATTCCGTAAAATCAAGACAAATTTTGCAACGGTGCAGAGAAGAAGGTGTGTGGACTAGTTTGTGGAAAGGTACAGGAATTAGGATTAGGGTAAGTTTTGTTATTAATATCGATGGTCAATGACGAACGCACGAGTTGGTAGTGTTAATCAAAGCTGCTCTGTTTACGTTAGTTACCGTATACTGACTTTTGGTGGACTGACGGACGGATTGACGGACGGACGGGGCAAGGAAGCAAGGAGGCAAGGGTTCTGAAACGAGGTGAGTTGGGTCTGATTACGAGAAAAAGTTATCATGCAACAAATCATGGGAATCGCAAATCGTCCTATCGCATAGCATATTCAGTTGAAAGTATATCGCAACTCTAATTTCAATGTAAAACATTTCTCCGAATTCTGCCTATATTGTTAGTAAATTAAGTATAACAAATGTTTAACAACTCATTTTTGCTTGTTAGATAAACCAAGTAGAAGACGCGTTGGGAACGAGGGTGGTCCTGGCCGTGCAGACCAATGGGCCGCGAGGAATGTGTCGCCCGCGTGCGGCGCTTCTGATCAGTGCGCCTCGAATTAGCCGGAGGGGTCGGGGGGGGCTGCAGCGCCATACGCACACCACGGGCCGAGAGGCTCTGCTAAAACTGTCCCGTGAGTTGTTGCGGTGTTGTTGGTGTACTTGTGAGGGATGTTTTGGTGCGTTAGATGCGTGTGTGCGCGTGTGGCGGCCCCGCCGCCGCCGGCTTGGCGCCGTCCCCCGGACCATCCATATGGCGGCGCTCTCGTGGCGGGGAGCGGCGGGGCCATGGAATGTGGGTCATGTCGTCGCGGCCGAGTGTCCGGCCCGGCCCGGCCGGGGGGCCGAGTGCTTGGGGTAGGACACCCTGTGTGTGCCCTGCCCCGCCCCGCCCCGACAACCCCATTTTATGAGCCGCGACCTCGCCACCGTTTGTGTTTGTTTGCGGAATAATAAAGTCAAGTGATGAACGCACCGGGCCCTGGGAGAAGGAGCG